CCGGGAGCCTTCTCCTGAGTGCCTTGGGCATGAGGGAAGCAAGCCCAGTGCTGAGATCTGTTCAGGGGACCAGTCTCTAGACTTTCAAAATGTATTCAGCATTAAACGCTTTGCTGGAGGCTGAAGAAGTCAAGTTCTATACTAGGAGCTTCAGAGTACTCAGCCCCACTGGCAGCAAACCTCACCTCAAATAGGTGGCTGCAAAGATTTGCCACCTGGTAATCTTAGACTTGGATATCACGGACTCCGCAGTCATCCTTAGATGAAGTATGGGGTCAGCTTCTAGCCACTAGGTGGGACAATGGCTCCGTGTACCTTCAGTGCCTGAGACAAACCTCTTGCCATTTGAAATTTTTTGGTTGTTAACATATGGACCGTCCTGTTTCTGTGAGATTGTGTCTCACCCAGGCTCCAGTTCCCTGAGTTGAGACTGTTCACTGCTATCCAGAACCCAGGGTAGTCCAGTCTTAAGCAAGAGACTCACTTTCATGATGGTACCTGGCCACAATCCTCTGAGACTTTGAAAGTGACAGAATGGATCTCCTGTTCACTGTTCATCACCCATCACACCAGAGGAGCTCATTCCTCCCCCTTCCTGAGTTGAGACTGTTCACTGCTATCCAGAACCCAGGGTAGTCCAGTCTTAAGCAAGAGACTCACTTTCATGATGGTACCTGGCCACAATCCTCTGAGACTTTGAAAGTGACAGAATGGATCTCCTGTTCACTGTTCATCACCCATCACACCAGAGGAGCTCATTCCTCCCCCTTCCCCTCTCTCTCCCATTCTCCTCCCCACCCTCTGTGCTCGGATTCTTGATGGGCGGTCTGGTACTAAGGACTTCTTTTCTTTTATCCTTCTCTTTGTCTCATTTTGGGATACTGGGCAAAATCTTGGACATGCTTTTCCTGACATTCTGGTCTTTTTCACTGCTGACTTCCATGCTTTACTTAAAAGGCATAACTTTTTTCTGCATGTGTCCCCCTTCTAGAAGCTGCTGTGATTTTTCAGCATGCCCGGTTTTTTCTCTCAATTTTCAATAAAATTATCCTTGAGCTTCAATCTGAGCCCATTTAAAAATTCTCTTTAAAAAGTTTTAAAGTTTGTTTTTTATTTTATGTGTGTGAATGTTTTGCCTTCATGTATGTAAGTGTGCCCAGGCATGCAATGCTCACAGAGGTCAGAAGGGAGCATTGGATTTCCTAGAACTGGAGTTAGGGTTAGCCACCATGTGGGTGCTGGTAATTGAACCCAGGTCTTCTGCAAAAGCAGCCGGTTCTCTTAACCACTAAGCCATTTCTCCAGCCCCCATTTTAAAATTCTTTTGTTAGTAAGACCAGGAGCCCCCAAAGAGAACTCTATTTCCCTAGTATCAGTTGCTTCACATGAACTGAAGGTCCTTTAGCTCTGGCTCCTTTTCGTATTTTGAGCATGGTGTTCCTTTCAGACACAGGCATATATCAAAAATTTGTACATCAGCTCAATAGTAGACAGCACACCATCCCAAATGCCTTGAGAATGAGGAAACAGCAGAGCAACAGGAGCCCCAGGGAGCAAACAGCACAACTTGGATCATTGCAGACCACCCTTTGCTGGCAGCCTGAAGGGTTGGCTTCAGGCCAGGGCTTCCCTTCCACAAAGTCTCACAGTTGAGGCCTCCGCCTTACAGCTGGATCTGCAAACACTTCCCTGCTTTGGTTCCTCTGTTCTATAAGATTGAAAACACCGCTACAGGAAGACTGAGAAGAAACTTGAAGCCTTATTTTTCCTAGCTTGACCATGACTTTATTTTTTAAAATATCTTGTTCATCATTTTTATTTTATGTACATGAGTGCAATGCGTGCATGTAAGTGCACCTGTGTTGTGCAATGCCCAACAGTCCCCTGGAACTGGAGTTATGGATGGTTGCTAGCTGTCATGTGGGTGCTGGGAATTGACCCTGGGTGTTCTGCAAGGGCAGTCAGTGCTCTTAACCACTGATTGGCCATCACTTTAAATAAATCCATTTTCCTTTACTGACTTCCATTTCTGATTTCCTTCTGGAATGTAGGAAAACTGAGGCAGCAGGTTATGAGCTTCCATTGTGCTTGCGTGGCACATAGCAGAATTTTTCTTACCCGAGTTAGGCAACCACTGATTGGCCATCACTTTAAATAAATCCATTTTCCTTTACTGACTTCTATTTCTGATTTCCTTCTGGAATGTAGGAAAACTGAGGAAGCAGGTTATGAGCTTCCATTGTGCTTGCGTGGCACATAGCAGAATTTTTGTTACCCGAGTTAGGCTCAGAGTCTGTGCCCCTGGCAGCCCTAACAAGCTGTGCTTGGCCACGAGTCCTCAATAAGCCAAACCGATAGTGTCCTGAGGAATGATACTGAGAATCATTCCCGATAAGTTAACGCTGCTTGGGAGAGCTGGGACAGGTGCAACTGACAGAAGAGTTTCCACACGTGTATTGTGTTGCAATCAACAATTTATATTGAATGAACAATTCAAGCAATACAGAGTTGCAAACAACAAACAACACACTTTAGGTGGAGAGTCAGAGTAGGTCTGGACCAGTGGGCCTAGTGCACCAGGTGTCACCAGGTTACCAAAGCTTCCAGAGATCCCTGCTCTCGAGGAGTACCTCCGGGCCTGGGCCCAATGTCCAAGTCCAAAGTCCTCCGTGGAAAAGCTCAGCTGCTCCACCGTGATCCAATGCACTCTCTCGGCCCTGGTTGACGCTGTTCAGGTTCGGGTCCTCGTGCTGCTTGGTTAGGATCACGTTCTATTGTGGCTCAGCGTCTCAGGATCGATAGATAATCAGCAAGAGAGTCTCTGCAGTCGGGGCCAGAGTATCGGGCAGGAACGTAGGGATGTCACCAGACAGTCGGGTGTCTGCACTCCACCGTGATCCAATGCACTCTCTCGGCCCTGGTTGACGCTGTTCAGGTTCGGGTCCTCGTGCTGCTTGGTTAGGATCACGTTCTATTGTGGCTCAGCGTCTCAGGATCGATAGATAATCAGCAAGAGAGTCTCTGCAGTCGGGGCCAGAGTATCGGGCAGGAACGTAGGGATGTCACCAGACAGTCGGGTGTCTTAAAGATGTGGGGTCTCTGTGAGCATCGGGGAGCAGGTCTCTACCTTGTCCTTTTATGTGGTTTCTGCTGGTCTAGTTTCAGAGTACTGACCAGGTTCTGGTCCTAGTCGATTAGTTCCTTATCACACAGTTGCATACATGTCACACTTCGGTTCCTATGGCTAGGTTGCCATGGTTACCCGATATGCATTTGACTTGTCCATGACATGTCACTTTAAACAGAGTTCAGCAAGGTTTTCAGAGTTTCAAAGTAACAAGGTATTCACTCAATTATAATTCAAGAAAAAAATGAGATGTTCTCCTAATTCTATAACATTCACTACAGGGTCCTTGGGATCAAATTCAGGTCTTTAGACTTGGTGGCAGGCCCCAGCAGAACGATTTTGCCTGCTCCACCAAGATTCTTCTTTTTAAATTTTATGTGTATGAGTGTATTGCCTGCATGTATGTGAGTGCACCCGTCAGAAGAGGGCATCGGATTCCCCTGGAACTGGAGTCAAGGATGGTTTGTAGCTGCCATGTGGGTGCTGGGAATCTGCAAGAGCAGTACATGCTTTTAACTGCTAAGCCATCTCACCAGCACCAGGCCTTAAACTTTTGATCCTCCTGCCTCTACCTCCCAAGTGCTAGGATTGCAGGTATGCATCACCATGCCCAATTTATGTGATGTTAGGGACGGAACCCAAGGTTTCATGCATTCTAGGCAAGTACCATACCAACAGAGCGATGGCCACTCGGCTCTGTGGCTTCTGGGCACATATGTAATGAGGCACAGCACCAGGGGAGAGAACATGACATAGAACAGCCTCTTGGCTGCCAGGATCAGAGGACACAGAGGAAGGATAACGGGCAACATTGATCCTTTAAAGGCATACCCCCCAGTGACCTACTTCCTCCAATAGGACCCCACCTCCTGACATTTCCACTGCCTCCCAACCATGTCATTAAATTATGGCTACACCAATGGAGGTCAGAGCCCTCATGATCCAACCACTTCCCTCAAACCCTGCCAGTGAACATTGCTCCAGTGGGAACCAAACCTTCCACACACGAGCATTTTGGAGACACTTCCTGTCCAAACTGTCATACCCAGACCATCCACTTTCTACCATGTTCATTTCTTTTATCACCTCTGACATTTCGAGATCATATTCCTAGTCATTGAATTGTAAGTCCCAGTTTTTGGCTCTTTTTATTCTTTGACTACATGTCCTCCCACTTCCTCCAGTTTTGTGACCTTGACACTCAGCATTCAGTTCCCACCAATACTGACTGCAGTTTTCATGTGCTAACAGGGACTTAGGTTACCAAAGTGCAGAGCTTGTTTGATGAATCCTCATCCTCATGTTGCTCCAAAGTCTCCTGAAAGATGGTCAAAAACATTGGAAACCTTTCTCCTGGACACAAGGTTTTCTTCTGGCTGCCCTGCAGCCTCAGCCTTTTTTCTCCCAAAACATGATTACTAGGGGAGTTCCGATTTCTCAGGGTCCATTGTTTCAATAGTCTGATAGCCAAAGCGAGGGACAAGAGTCTGTAGAATATCCTCATTTTTTTCCAAGTCGGTTACAATAGTTCATTGTTTCTAGTACTGCTTGATCAAGTAGAATTTTCTTCATGACAAAAAGTTTTAAAAATTAAACACTCCCACAATTTAAAGAAGAGGTTAACTCGGGGGTCAGGTGGGCGTGGGGAGATGGGACCCTCCAAGCAGGACATAAACAACAACAGACCATATTCATATCTTTGCCTTTTTTTCTGCAATAGCCCATCCTGGAGGAGGTCCAGGGGAAGAGAAAACAGAGAGAGAAATATAACTCCCAGACGTGCCCAGATCTGCTGCTGCAAGGCTCAGCCGGCTCTTATTCTGAAGAGTATCCTAGCGTCCTTGCTTGCTAAAATTAAACTGTTGGCTGCTTGATCTATTATGCATTCCATTTGCATTTTTCTCTGTGGAGAGCTGAGGAAGCAAGACTGCTGTTGACGTTGAGAACAGAGGAACCTGGAGACCTTCCCAGGACATCTGGTGCCCACTAGAGATCAACTGTCTTTAGAGATAAGGTAAACAGAGCCCCTTCCCTCTCTCCCATCTTGTCTCCCCCCACCCCCGTCCCCCTCTCTCCCTGTCTCTCTCCCTCTCTCTCCCTCTCTGTCTCTCTCCCTCTCTCTCCCTCCCTCTCTCTTCCTCTTTCTTTCTTCCTCCTCCCCTGCACTTGGCAAGGACTCTGCTTCCTCCCTGCATTTCCCACTACCCACCCCCGTCCCCCTCTCTCCCTGTCTCTCTCCCTCTCTCTCCCTGTCTCTCTCCCTCTCTCTCCCTCCCTCTCTCTTCCTCTTTCTTTCTTCCCCCTCCCCTGCACTTGGCAAGGACTCTGCTTCCTGCCTGCATTTCCCACTGCTCTCATGTCTCCTAAGTGTACCCAGTGATCTGCTTGCTTCCTCTGCTGTGGGATGCCTCTGTTCCCCTCCTCGGGCATGAGTACGCTTCTTTCTCCCCCACTCCTCCTCTGCCCCCATCCCTGGTTTAATCTCCACTGACACTCAGCATATCTGTTTCATTTCTTTCTTTGATCTGTGGGCCTAAAGACCACTTCCTCTGGGCTGCTGCTTGTGTGATCTCTTACTGAGAACCTTGCATAGCCGAGGACCTTTCCTACTCCCTTGGCCTATGGCTTTTGCCTACGAAACACCTTTGCTTCCTGCTCATGTCCTGGAAAGACACTGGAAGCCCTCTGAGCTGGTTATTATGCCACTGGGTTTGGCTGCATGAAGACCTGACACTTTGCGGGGGGAGACCTTCGTGACGTTTATTCTCAGGACTGCAGAATAGGATCTCTCCTCCTCAACCCAGAAACCTTTTTTTTCTTTTTTATTGAATTTTTACAAATTTCAAATACTATTTTGATCAGGTATAGAGTTCCCTCTTCTATCTGCAACCTCCTCAATGCCCCACCCAATTTCATGTATTGTTTATATATGCATATATTCATATATATACTTATTAACTCAAACCACCTGTCCAGTGTCACACCTGTATGGAAAACTGACTCTCCCTCTCTCAGCAGCCATCAGTTGCAAAAAGTTCCTTAGCTAGTGTTGGGGCCTCCTACCCATAGCTCCACTTCCATTCTGGGATTCTGTCTGGCTTGAGATTACATGGGTCTTGTGCATAATGTCACCATTGCTGTAAATTCATATAAACTGTTTGCTTGTGGTTACTCTTTACCCCCCCCCCACCTCCCGCCTTCTGCTATGATCCCTGAGTCTTGGGAGGCAGAGCAGAAACTTCCTCTTTATAATGAAACTTTGGCATGGCCCTGGAAAACTTGCAGGCTGTTGACCTGGGGCAATTCTAACTGCCCTCCTCCCCGACAGGGGAAGAGGTTATGAAGATCTCTGCCCTTAGAGTCTTTGGATTTTTCTATTTCTTAATTTTATTTATTTATTGTTATATATGTGTGCATATTGTATGTGTGAGGGCATGCATGACATGCACATGGAGGTCAGAGGACAACATTGAGGAGCTCATTCTCTCCTTCAACTTTTAGATGAGTTCTGGGGATCTAACCCATGTCACAAGGTTCGCAAGGCAAGAACCTTTACCTGCTGGGCCACTTCACCAGTCCAAGATAAAGCCTTTGTTTTTTCAGAAACAGAGACTAAATCCAGGGCATTGTACATGTTAGGCATGCACTCTAACGCTGAGCCATGCCCCTAGGTTGCTAGGATTCTTTGAAAGGACACTTGAGCAAAGCAAGAACGCTCCCTTATGACTTCTGAGGGGAGTCACAATTTCCAGAAGGAAATTTCTAGGTTCTAGAACTTACGTCAGAATTAGACTGGTGAGTGCCCTTGAGACAAGTCCAGGCAGGAGGGAAGAGTATCATGGATGTCGGTGTGGTCACCCAGTAAGGATGATTCAAATAGACTGTTGAAACATAAGGGTGGAATGCCTGAGGGCACCCAGAGGGTTCCAGCACGGCCTCTTAGTGACCAGACCGTGCATAGGAGGTGTGTACATCCGACCATGGTTAAAGGATAGACTGACAGGACAGAGGGACACATCATCTGATGTGCCGTCAACCTTGCTGATTCATCCCTTCTTTTGTAGGAAGGAAGTCAGGCTTGCCTCCATCTCATCAGACATCCTCTTGCATCCCAAAGAACAGTGAAAACGTTAAATGGGAACATCCTCAAAAAGAGGAAACTTACTGTTTTTTCTTTTGTTGCAGTGTAGTATGGCTTTAATATGAGCTGGGTGTGGAAAAAGTTGGCCTCTGGCTGGAGGCCTATTTGTTTAAGTGCTTTATGTTAACCACAGTACCATCTTCCAGCTTGATTTATTCTGTTGATTAAAGGCAAATTGTTAGACATTCTCCATGTCCAGTTTTCTTCTCCTTAAGAGACAACCCAAACCTCTTGAAAAGCCGCAATTTGGATGCCAAGTCAGAGGATTTACTCATGTAGGCTAGTCTGCTTTAGCGTTTACACACTTGACAATGCTTCAAAAGTCTATGGGGAATGAAATTAAGTACAACCTGGTGTTATTGCAGCTTAGAGACTACTAGACAGTTTGAAATCTGAAAATGTCAGAAGACAGCCCCGAAAACCAAGTGTTTTTTCTCTGAAGCGTTTTTTTTTTTAATTTTTTTTAAAATTATGTATTTAATAGCCACATGATAGAAGAAGCATTTCATTACAGCTTTAACATAGTCAATAACAATTTCCAAAGCCAAGATACATCGCTTTTTAAAGTATAGGTTCACAGTTGAATTAATGCAGTCATACAATATTGAACTCAGTATAAACCCTGTAAGACATAAAATTGAATGAGGTTTTAAACTTTAAAAAAGATCTCCATTTTATTTTAAAATATATGGTTTCATACACAAAAACTCATTTTTAATGTTGCTAACACTTAGATGTTTTGCACATGTGTCACTAATCTCTATGTATTTGATTATTACTAGTCACAGTTGGTTACACGGATCCTTGGCACCCAAGTATGGATATAAAGTCATCAGATTTCAATGGTCATGTTTATCCCTTCTACTAATTAACATGAAGTAAATTTTTATTCTTTTTCCTCAAATATAACTCATTTTTTATTTGTTGATTTTTTTTGTGTATATCATACAGATCATCCCAAACAATCTTATTTATCTATATACCCACTTGCCAAATGGTACCCTCCTATAGCCTCCCCCAGCCCTGCCACTGGAGCCCATATACTCTATCATCCTTGTTACTGTCCACTGTGTTGTCGACACTCCAGCCGTTCTCCAGAGCTTGTCCATCCGCTGAATCTAGTCAGCCTATCTAGAGTTCCTTGTTTTAGGAAGATCAGCTCTTCCTCATCTACCAGCAATCAGTTGTCAATACACCTTTAGATAAGATTGGGGTCTGTTGTTTATTTTTCCAGTTCTATGCTGGGTTACTGTCTGGGAGTCTCTTGGGCCACCCTGGCCAACAACTCAAAGGAAGGTGTCTCCAGCCTTTAGCTATACACATGGACTCTTAAAAAATTATATTGACCCCTTTAATCTTTGATTATACTTTCTTTTTGAGTGTTTAAGACCATACAGTTGGCCCAGATAAACCAATTTATTTGTACTCTTAAGGCCTTTTGAGGATCTGTTCCTCAGTGGTCACAATGGGCTTGGGAGGAACCCCTAGCTCCTTTCTTTTACCAGTTCCATCTATGTAAAGATAAGTCAAAGGTCCTGCTCGACCATGGTTGGCTTCGCTTGGAAACATGGAGGAAATGTTTTCTCTGCATTGACCCTCCTCTTTGTAGACTGGACACTGGTTCAGGTCCATCTGGTGGGGTCTCCATGGCCTCCCTGATCAATAAGACAGGTGACTCGCCACAGTTACAGGACATTTTGAGAGATGCTCATAGTCCCCTGGAACTTAGTTGACCTTGGAGGGCAAGGACCAAAACCAGTCCTTTATGTCCCTCTGACCAAATTAGTATAAGCCTCAAAGTATGGCTGTTAAACATCCAAGAAGGTTAGTTTCACCAGTCTGCTACTTTTAATTACCATGTGCCATGTAGATAAAACTTGGGTAAAGACCGAACATTCTCAGATAAACCTTGTCTAGATATATATTATATTCCTTGCGCTAGTTGTATGTATAATTTGTCAGTAGGTTGTTTGATTACTATAGTTCCTTCTGTTTTTTTTTTAAAGTAGGCATTATTTATTTCTCGCATTGTGTAACCCTTCCACCATTGTTTCCCCATTTAAAGTACCCTCATTTTTCCCATTTCTCTCTTAATA